TGTCAGAGACAGTGCGAATGGCACAGGACAGAGCGGAGTTTAGGGCTGTTGTACATAGGGTCGCTATGAGTCGCAGGCGACTTGACGGCACATAACAACAACAACAACAACAACAAGAAAACAAACCTATAGGTAATTACACTTCCAGGATATCTAGATAAACATAGATAAGGGAATAATGCAAAATGTGAACAATGGTTTATGTACCAGGATGTTTCATTACAGTGTTGTAAAAGGAAAAACGTAATAACCTAAAATATGTATTACATGGCTACATGAATGTCTAGAATGGAATAGCTACAATTAAAAATTACCTTAACAAAAAGATTTTGTATGCCATGAAAAAGATAACGTTACAAAAAAGTACCAAGCAAGATTACACAAAACAATCAAAGATTATATAAAACAATGTAATAAGAACAACCAGAAAACGCCACCCTCTTAGGTGGTAAGTTAGGCTTACCTTTAGACTCACATGCTTTATTTCTAAACTTGGATTTTGCCAGCTTCTTTCGTGGAAGAGAGAGGTCTGAAGCATATTCACATTTGCTGTTCTTTGGGAGTGAAGAATGGGAGGGTCCTGTGTCTGTCCAGTGTGAAGAAGACTTGCTAGAGCCTCTGTCGGGGGATTCACTGCTTTTGGTTTTAGGTAGTGAATGAGGAACATTAGCAGACAAACTGGGAGAATGGTGACCAGTTCTGGAGGAAGATGTAAATTTCCTTGGAGGAGGAGACAGATCAGGTGAGTCAAGACGAGCTTTCCTAAGAGACACATCTGAAGAATTATGAAACTTCCTGGGTGGAGAAAGATATGGGGAGTCAGGACGGACCCTCCTCCGTGGTGAAGCGTCTGAGGAGTCATGACGGACTCTCCTGGGAGGAGATGAATCCGGGGTGTCGTGACGGACTCTCCTGGGAGATGAATCCGGGGTGTCGTGACGGACTCTCCTGGGAGGAGATGAATCCGGGGTGTCGTAACGGACTCTCCTGGGAGGAGATGAATCCGGGGTGTCGTGACGGACTCTCCTGGGAGGAGATGAATCCGGGGTGTCGTGACGGACTCTCCTGGGAGGAGATGAATCCGGGGTGTCGTGATGGACTCTCCTGGAAGGAGATGAATCCGGGGTGTCGTGACGTATCCTCCTGGGAGATGAACCCGGGGTATCGTGACGTATCCTCCTGGGAGGAGATGAATCCGGGGTATCGTGACGTATCCTCCTGGGAGGAGATGAATCCGGGGTATCGTGACGTATCCTCCTGGGAGATGAACCCGGGGTATCATGACGTATCCTCATGGGAGGAGATGAATCCGGGGTATCGTGACGTACCCTCCTGGGAGGAGATGAACCCGGGGTATCGTGACGTACCCTCCTGGGAGGGGATGAACCCAGGGTATCGTGACGTATCCTCCTGGGAGGAGATGAATCCGGGGTATCACGACGGACCTTCCTGGGAGGAGATGAGTCCAGAGCATCGTGGTGGATATGCTTATGTGATGAGGTTGGGTCATCAGCCTGGCCTAAACACAAATAGCAAAGAGTCAGATTCCCACAAATTCTCTTTCCACTCCCAGCACCCAAGGATTTAAAAGATCCCCTAATGGCAGACATCTACAAATAATCGGAAAGCTCAAAAGGTGTACTCAGGTTCTTTGCTTAGGGGCAGCAAACTAGTGCTTTATCTACCTAGAAAATAATCCCTTTTGCTGGCCTACCTACAACATTATATATCTGCAAGGCATTTTAAATTCATTTGTCATATTACACCCTGCATCCACTTCCTAAATAACATGCCTCCGGAAACTCTATGAACTTTGATGAATGTCTATAGTTGTAGAGGGGCTTCAGGCCTTTTGTTCATAAGGTTGCTATGAGTCCTGCTCCATTCAAGGCAATCAACAACACAAGGTAAGCAGAGTATCTGTTACAGTCTCTAGAAAACAGAACAATTTCTTATCGAAGGTCACACTCCTACTAAGATGAAGAGACAGCCAAGAACCCAAGTCTTCTAACTCCCAATCTAATGTTCTTCTAAAATCTTACTTACAGAGCTCCGAGTCACAGGCTCCTCCTGATACTTTAATCATAAAACCGAACCAAACTACAGTTAAGTCAGTTCCAGCATTCCACTGGTTCTCCCAGACAGAAATCCTTATGGGAGGGGAATGCTCACCTTTTTTCACTATAGAAAGGCTGGTGGATAAAAATGCACACCTTCCAATTAACAGCCCAATATTACAGGATTCCTTTGCCAATGTTTAGCTTAAACAAGTTATAATCTATCCTGTTTTTTCAAAAGGCAAATTGAATAAGCCTGTGCTACAGCAAAATGACATGACATTTCATTAACTCTTTAATTGTACTTCCTCTTGAGTTGGGAGGGGAGAGTCATATATTTACTTACCTAAAGTTCAATGCTTTATACAGATCATTTCATTTAAGAACTCTCAAATCTGAGAAATAAATATTATCATAATCAGGCTGGAAAAATGAATGGAAGGCCACTCTCTGCCGTTTCTTTGAAAGTGTGTTTTCCAGTTTGAGGTTGAGACTAGGGTGTGGCTTTGCTCTTAACAGGGCATAAGCTGACTGGATTTGACCTCTACTTAAAAAGGCTTTTGGGCCCTCGGGCCTGGTTTTTTGTCAATCTCCCAAATAAAACAGGCTTGGAAGGAAGAATGGCATCCACTTCCTAAGGGGAGAAAAAAAAAGCTGGCCTCCAGAAACTCTATGAACTTGGAGAAAAGATGAAAGTTTTGAGTTCAAGACTTTTCGTTCATAGGGTCGCTATGGGTCATCTACAACTCAACAACAACATCTAATCTATGAAGAAGCTGATAAAAAGATTTAGTAGTTTACCAAAGTCACTCTGCTATTAAGTGGTGGACTGAAAATACCAATCCAGACCTATTTGATGCCAGAGTCCATGTACAAGTCCACAAAATGTCTAACTGAGAAAAGATTTTAAGATTTTCCATTTTTAGAGGCATAATGGAGTGAAATGCATGCAGCAACCTGAGATCTTTCCCAAATCCGTTTCTTCCTCTTCTCCAATTCTCACTAGTAAGCTCTACAACCCTAATGTTAAAAAAGTCAGATGGCACTTTCTCAAAAAGTTGCAAACAGAGATACCATTTGACCCAGCAATTCCACTACTGGGAATATATCCCAAAAAGAACATAACTGACATCCAAGCAGATATAT